AAATAGTGTTGACTGACCATAAGGAGGAGCAATGAAGTGAACAGGCCTGCGGGGTAACATTATGAGCGGCATAAACCTGTCACAAGCTTAGGATTGAATGTGCAATATTGGTACCCAATGGGCATAATTCACTCGAGAGTAAAGCCTAACTTTTTGCTAGCTTTACTTCTCTTTTGAGTGGCAGGAATACATTTACTAATTTACTCGTTACCCAAAGTCAGACATTAGCAGGCTTAGGTCTACTCTCGGCTGACAGAATACAGGCACTCCAAGGTAGAGAAGGCATGCCTGCCCGAAAGCTGGCTTTGCCTCCTTTGCGCACAACTGAGAGCAAGATCCACACACTCCCTCCCCTAACCCCTGCCAGCGCAGAGACCAAGAGCTGACTGATCAGCGGTTATGTCACATCTCTCAGTCTGAGACAGTGTATCTGTCCCACATTGGCTGTAAGTATCAGGAAGAGCGTTTTACTCTCTTCATAATACTTCAAGGCCAGAGGACATATGGCTTCACTACATTGGGTCAATGACCCAGAACAAGTAGGTATTCTGAGCACCTGCCCCACATACTTAAAACCATAGCCCACTGCTTTTAATATAACAACAATTACTCTACTTTACACATTCCCACCTGAAGCGCATTGCGGGTGCAATACAAAGCTCCTGCATTGTTTATTCCCACCCTACATCCAAGCAAGGATCTGGACCTTTTGTTATAGAGCTGGAAGAAAGCAACAGACTACAAATGTGGTGACACAACAGTCCTGTTGCTGGCACGATCTGCTGTATCCTCCAGGAATGGACATCATGGCTGTGTTACTGTCAGAATACCTGAATGGAGTAGGCAGCTGTTCGATCTGTTCGGCCGAGAATTTTCAATCTGGCTCCTTCGATCAGTTACATAGTATTTGAGATTGAATAAAGACATTAGTCCATCAAGTCCAACCTATTAGGATCTCATTCTAGGAGTACCCGTACCCATTGATGGAGGGATTGCTGGGCGGAAGGGTGCAGACAGCAGCACCTACAGGACAAATTTCGGCCGGTTCATCAGGAACCAATCAAAATTTGAACCGGGTGTACCCAACTTAAGGCTGGGTTGCCAGCTCTTGAGAGCTGTGGTAATAAAATGAAGGATAGAACAAAGTCAACTGAAGAACGGTCAGACTAAACATATTGTCCATCTTACGACTATACGTGTAGGCCTAAGGAAGTTTGGCTGTGAAATCCGACATTTATATTACAGACACTAGTAGTAAAAAGTATGCATGCTTAAAAGCTTGCAAGACCATACTAAAACCCAATTTGCCCTCCAGGACTTTGGACTATGCAGAATGACTTGGTAGAAGCACAAGGCTTCCATTCGTTTGAAACAAAGAAGACCCTGCTACATTGTGTTAGCATGAAGAAATCCACTCACTGGTGAAGGAAAACAGATCTACCTGTAGAGGGACAGGCAGAACCTATGCTCCTATTAGAATGAGAAGTGTCAGTTTAAAAGAAAGTTGCTGGTAGGTTTTGCTTCTATGCTGATGGGAGGTCACCAGTCAAACTGGCGCAAACTGACCCATCTCGATCAATGTACATGTTTTAGGGTTATAGCTAAAGCAATGTAACTTTATTGATGACAGCCTTTAGTAATACTTTATGTACAGGTACCCACGGCACCCTATTAAGCACAACAAAATCTGACCAATTGCTATGGGTTACTACAGACTGATATATTATTAAGGCTTATTAAGTGTAAAACTGACAGCAGATGTTTAATCCAAAAAACAGTGAGTGCATGACAGTATTCTATGGCATCCTAGGAACAGGAAGTGATACATGAATTGGCTCTCAGTAGCATGGGTTGGATAGCTTTTGCTTCATCTTACAAACTGACTGTTTGCTTAACAATTAAAACTTAAGTGTAACAAACCTTTACCTTTCTGTATCTTCTCGTATGCTGGGGTCAGACACTGTCCAGTAAATGATCATGCAAGAGGAGAGACGGGAAGGACAAACTTTGGTTCTTCAGGTTGGGCTGCACAAGTAAATGCCATGGCAAGAGCTGTATGAACATGTAACTTTTCTCCAGTTAAAGTCGTTCTTCAGGCAAAAATGATAAACTGTCCTTCGCAAGGTTCCCATAGTATATACACACTGTCATGCTCATTTTTTACAGCTTTAGTTATCAAGAAATGACCCTTTGACCCTGCCTTTTCCCTGTCTAGGGCCAACTGTGCTATTTTGCCGCTACTCAAATGCTCATTTCGCCCAGCAATGCCTGCACCCAGAACCAGTGATGCTTCATTGTGTATTCATAAGTGCTGTGCACCTCAGCCGCTTCCTCCAGTGCGTGTGATTGGCAATCAATTACTGCGCTCTGGCACCACTCAGTGGGGACAATATAATACAGCTCTTCCCCTTATTTTTCTTTATGCTGAATGAATACACAGTTCGGCCATAACATTATGACCACCCATCTAATACAGAGTATGTGCCCCTTTTCCTGACCCATTGAGGCATGGACACCACTAGACCTCTGAAGGTATGCTGTGGTATCCAGCCCCAAGCCGTCAGTAGCAGATCCTTTAAGTCCTGTAAGTTGTGAGGTGATCAGCCCCTATGGATCCGACTTGTTTTTCCAGCACATCCCACAGATGTTCAATTGGATTGAGATCTGGAGAATTTGAATTCAACACCTCAAACCATTCTTAAACCATATTTGCAGTGTGGCAAGGTGCATTAATCTGCTGAATTAGGCCACTGCCATCAGGAAATACCGTTACCATGAAGGGGTGTGCTTAGTCAGCAACTTTTTAGGTAGGTGATACTTACCATAGTAACATCTGCATGAATGGCAGGATCCAAGGTTACCTAGCAGAACATTGTTCAAAGGATTGCACTGCCTTCTTCCTACAATGTTATGATCGAGGTGCCATCTCTGCTCCAGGCCACACAGATGCACCCGGCCATTTACATGATGTAAAAGAAAACGTGTTTCATAAGATTAGGCCACCTTCTTCCATTGCTCCGTGGTCCAGTCCTGATGCTCACCTGCCCATTGCAGGCACTTTTGGCGGTGGACAGGGATCAGCATTGACACCCTGACCAGTCTTCCTCATGTGTGATGCTCTGTGTGTTCAGACACCTTTCTATGGGAACCAGCATTAACTTTTTCAACAGTTTGAGCTACAGTAAGCTTTTCTATTGGATCGACCTTCACTCCCCACGTGCATCAATGATTCTTGGCCGCCCGTGACCTTGTTGTCAGTTCACCAGTTTCCCTTCCTTGATCCCCCTTTTGGTAGGTCCTACCCCCTGTAAAATGGGATCATCCCACAAGAGGTGCAGTTTTGGAGTTGCTCTGACCCTGTCGTCTAGACATCACAATTTGGCTCTTGTCAAAGTCACTCACGTCCTTACGCTTGCTAATTGTTTCGCTACCAACACATCAACTCCAGGGACAAAATGTTCACTTCCTGTCTAATAAATCCCCCCCACTTCCAGGTGCCATTGTAAACAGATAATCAATGTTATTCACTTCACCTCTCAGTGGTCAGAATGTTATGGCTGATCAGTATAGCTACACAGCAAAAATATGAAGCAGTTTTCTCAAATTTGAATGCAAAAGTGCAAATCACCCTTGCAAACAAAAAGTGGTCTGTGGATTTCCTGAGGATTTGTTTAATACTTGTATTACCGTGTTTACTATGAGACCAGGAACAGGACACTGAAGATTGAGAGGAACGGGGTTAATCCAAGTAAACACAGTCCCCCTAAACATGCTATATTCCACAGCAAATATGAACTGAGGTTTTTCTGTTCGGGACCCTAAAAAACCAAGTACTAGTGTAAAACAGTGTGCATACAAACAAAATGTCACATTAAGGAGTGATACGGTTTTCTTTAATAACTTATGTGGAGAAAAACCCCCCAAAAACAAACAGTTTAGGTCCATCGTCACTTACCTGATAAGCCATCTGCGCTGATTAGAAGGAAAAGATCTTCTTTCAGATCACATTAGATAGCATGGAACATACATCTGAAAACATCACAGATAATACTACACAGCCTGTAGTCTACACCGCCATCTACTGGCTGCAGTGCATGCGGCATTGTATAACCAGGTTTACCAAGAGGAGGCTGATGTGACCTATAGACCAATCACTGATATATCACCTTTTGACAGGTGAAAAGTAGATGGATATTAAGAAAATATTCTAGATGCAGACTGGATTTGAGCAATGATTCACATTAAGAAATCGATACCGTCCATCCGAGTATATTAAAAGAACGCCTTCAAAGCCTCAGGAGAATAGCACCAAAAACATGGCCAATTTAAAGTATCTAAAGCCACAATGGCGTTTAGCTTTCGGTAGTAAAGTTGCTTTCTGCACTGACTACTATGTCAGGAACAGAAGGGAATTCTCCCAAGGGTGACATGTTGAGGCAGCAACTGTCCAGGAAAGGATCGCCTTCACTTTGAAGATATTGCCTTACTACCTGTTGTGGTAAACTACAAAGGTTTTGGCTTTAGACATACTTCAGATCAAGCTTAACATCGCTTAGGCAGAGTCCATTATTGGAATGCCAATAGGACTCGAAATGCCAATATGACTTGGATATTCATGTTACATTGGCTGCTAGGCTGTTACCTCCAGAAAATGCCCACAGACCTGTTGGTATAATAAAATAAACCTGATACAATGACATACAATCAGCACAGGACTGTACCATTCTGGAGGCTGTGCAGTTTTTAGCATTAAATGCAGACAACTACGTGCTTTCTATAGTGCTGATCTTGGACTCAATTGCCCAAAACTACATACTTACCTTAAATGTTTTCCTCCCCTAGAGCAGACAGCCAGAGCTCACATGGGAATGCTTTCATACCTGGGCCACCACAAAGATTTCGTACCGTCTACTAACCAGGATTAAAGTGCAATGTAATTGTGTAATGTGTGTTATCAGGTGTGTGTGCACTAGGGGGTAATATTCCTAAGTGATACATACATTTGTAAAACAGTGTGGATGAAATGGCAGCAGTCTTTTCTGGCTTTACAGCAATGTAATTATGGTCGCTCTCCCAAGAAGGTGTACTGCTGCTGTACTCCTCCGCTGGCTCCTCGCCGGACGATTCGGCCTCCACCTTTGGGGTTACTAAAACACTTGGCTTCTGGATGTCCGTCTTCTCCACAGTGGCTTTCTGCACAACTGGGGGTTTTGAAGGAGCCTGTAATAAATGTACATTAGAGTTAGAAATTAAAGATTAGAGAAAACACATTGCAGCAATAAAAAGGAAGTGAAACTATCCGAAACCAAAACCTCTGTCTTGAAAATCATAACATCTAGTGCTTTATCTCTTCAACATGAGTCATTACAACAAAAATGTATTAAACCAATAACTAAACTGGACACAAATGGCATCCTCTACAGCAGGGGTGGGCAAACTTTGCTCTCCAGCTGCTGTGGAACTACAAATCCCATTAGGATTTGTAGGGTCAGCACAAGCTGGAGGGCCAGAGTTTGGTTACCTTTGCCCTAGAGCATAGCCTTAACTGGTACCTACCAGCACACGCCTCTGTTTGCTGAGGGAAAAAAACTTACAAGTCACTATGTTCAACCAATTACCAAGTATCAATAAAAGATGAAAAAATACTTAAAGAAGCTCGCCATGATTTTCTACAGCTAACACTTGCTATCCCCTGAATAGGGAATGGAAAGAAGATGCACTCAACCGATCCTGCCAATGTGACCGCTCACCTTGCACTCCTCCGCTCTGGCTGTATATTTTACTCAGCATTCTCATGTCTAATGTAAGTGAATGGGCCTTGCACAGACCTGATGACGTCAGCGGAGCTTAGACCGCCGGAGTGCTGGAAAGAAGAGGCTGTGGGGACCAGTCTTTCAGCCAGGCAGGATCAAATGAGTGTATTTTCTTTATTTGCTCCCATAGACCAAGCAGTGAAGAGGTAGCACCACTGAAAATCCTGCAATTCCTCTTTAACCACAAAGTGCTTTCATTTATATATCTATTTTATCAGCAGCTCATATGGCATTTTTGTTTTCACTAGATACCTCAAACCCTTAGCAATGTTTTAAGCAGATGCCAACCTCTGTGAAAATCTCCGAATGGACTTCAACATACAAAAACAGCACACAAGTCAAAGACAGTACATGCAGTGAATTCATCTGGCTGGTGTACTAAAATTTGCATTAAGTAAATAAAATACATAGTGTGTTATAGAAGAACCCTGGGCAGAATTATTCTTAATCTTTGCAGTGGGGCTACCCTGCAGACTGAAAGAGTTAAGAGCCTCTTTTAGTCTAAGGAAATAAAAAAAGAAAGGAGATATCTAAATCTCAGACAGCTGGCCGTTAGACCGGTCCCTGCATCCCCTCTCCGCTCCAGCAGTCTAAGGACCTGGGAGTCATCATGTCCTAAACAGTGTATTGGACGTGAGGCTGCTGAGGGAGATTCCATCACTTCAGTCTAAAACAGCCTGCTGGCTCAGACGTTACATACATAGTTACAAGTATTTGAGGGTGAAGACACAGGTCCATCAAGTTCAACCTTAGGCGAGTAAATCTATTGTTTTAGTCCCTAGCTGAAAACAAGCATTTAACACTTGCCGTTTGGGGGTAGCCACTACTGGAAGAGTTAAGAATATTTCTGCCTAGAGTTCTTCTTTAAGCTTTGGTGAATTGGGAAAGAAGCGCAAACAAAAACATATGCTTAAGGAATTTACACCACTACTAAACAAAGTTACATGTGCATGCATCATTTTCCAAATGCGCACTATAAGGCTGGGTTCACACCTAGGCGTATCGAATATGCGTGTTTGTCGTGCCGCGTGTTTTTACCGCGAATTGTGGTAAACAAACGCGCAACAAACGCGCGTATCCGAGGGCTACATGGCTGTATCCCAATGGATATGCATGGCAAATACGCCCCATAGAAGCTCCTGCATTTCTTTGGACGTAGGGCGTTTTGCAGCGCGTTCCTACGCGCTGGAAAACGCCTAGGTGGGAACCATGCCCATAGGCAATCATTGGTTTTCACATGTTGAGCGTTTTACAGAGCGTAGGAACGCGATGTAAAACGTCCAGGTGTGAACCAGGCCTAAATTAATGTAGTGGAGGGAGGGTTGTTCAACAAGCAGATCTCTCATTCACAATCACACATGGATTGTGCCTGTTGCAATCACTGTGCAGTGTATGGCCAGTATTAGAACTGAACGTTAATAACACACTTGGACAAGGTTCAGTGCGGATCTCCATCAAAGCATTCAGCAGTGCCACCGCTTCAGCCAAGAATGTCCCAATTAAAGTTTAACTTCAATTCATAGCAGCTCAAGGTCACAATGTCCGGGGGCAGAAAGAAGTTTGTACAAAAGCGATACAACTTGATGTGCATGTGGTCAGTTACATGGTGCATTCCGGTCACACAGCTAGTTCTTTCCTGAAGTTATTTTACTGTGCAATCATTACTATTGATTAAATTAAAGTTACAGAAATGGCAAAAGGTCAATTTGTGGATTAACATTCTCAGTAAAGGAGGATGCAACACATTTTTACTTTAGCAGGGTAATACGGATGTAATAAAATGATAGGATACAATCAGGAGAGTACAAAGGTAGTAGTTGAATGAGCCAAGAAGGGTGTGCAGATATTAAGGCCTTGTTCACACCAAGCGTGTTCCAGGAGCAGAGCAGTTACAGAGCGGATCAAGACTGCGTCCAATGTATTCCATGGTATTTTTAGCTCCAGTTCACACCGCAGCGTTCAGTTCCAGAGCATGTAAAAAAAACTGCAGCAAGCCCTATTTTACCTGCTCTGGAATGCATGCAAATGCCCGGAACGCACTAAAAGCCCATTCTAAACCAAAAACGGCCCGGAATGCATCAAAAACGAGGCAAAAAACGCAGTGTAACACACTGCGTGTGCAGAAACTCAGGCAGATCTGGTCTGCATTTGGGGTGAATAAGCCCTAAATAGGCACAGAAGAGAGAAGGGGTATGGGAAGTTATTTAAGAAGTCAGGGTCTGTCACATTGTCAGAGTTATTTTTCAAGAGAAGTGAAATGGAAAAACTTGAGTGAAACGAGTGTACATATTACTTATAAGCACACATCTGCTTATCAGTCTTTGCCCCAAATCCCTTTTAAAGAATTTGGCTTTTACACAGAATGGGGTGCTATCATGATGTATAAAATCAAAGCAATGTCTTTACATTTGAGAAGAATCTGGAATACAGGCCCTTGTCTACATGATATATTCCATGCTAAAGAATCAGAAAGTTCTTACATAAAGCCAGATTAAGGATAAACTGCTTACCTGGGATTTGGGTGGTGGGGACAACTTCTCAGTTTTTACCTTGACCTTTTCCTTGGGCTTGGTGTCTTTGCCTGCGCTTAGTGACTTCATTGTTTCCGCAGCGTGTTTAAGTATACAGTCATGGCTGCAATACACAGAGTCTTGAAGGGCAAGATTCGAACAGCCTGGTCCGATGCACTTGGCCACATCTAGAGACTCCGACATCTCCGGAGCAGGAGAAACCTCCTGAGAGACCTCAGTAGCTTCACAGACCTGCGTGGACATCTCGGCAAAGTCAGGAATCTCCACCTACAACACAGGGAAGAGATGAGGACTAACCACTGCCGTTTCTGTCAGAAATGTGCATTAGAACAGCGATGCTACACTAGAAATAGATACAATTTTTATCATGAGTAAAAATCAGCAAAATAGCATGACTTAGTTGTCTTTTAGGAAGCCAAACAGGTTATTGGCAAGACCACATGAGCACTAAAAAAGCAACAGCACTAGCTTCTGTGTGCGAACTTTAGCTACAGCGTAGCTGCACTCAATATGGGGGCAGAAACATTTCTATCATTTGGTAAATTATTTTACGATTTCAAAAGCTGCATGAAATCAAGTGACGCGGTGATCTGAACATGTGATGTATGACTTTTACTTGACCTTCAAAAGCAGATTCAAAAATTAGAGAGGATCATTCACTTCTATTCAGATAAAGGGGTCTGTACTACTTCCAAAGACGAATATCTTTTGGAGGCATTATTTAGTGATGTTTAAGGTCTACTCTAACCTTGTGTACCTCTATGTTCTTAGAACATTGCCAAAACACAACTAGAAGTTACTCTGAGGAAATTAGGAAGGACAGGCCCCAGTTACCCAGCAAGGCAACAAGAACTAAAAGGAATGGTGCAGGTAAAAGGGCTCAGACTGCTAGGGAAGTTTACCACCACCACCTGCAAAACTGAAGCAAATCTTGTTTGTGGGGGAGGTCTATAAACTGCAAAATCAGACTGCAGAGACTTGACAGAATTTGATTTCCCAATATGCAAGCATTACACCATATCTATGACACAGGAATATGTATGACCTGTTCTGTCACAGCAGAAAATGGAAGACCTTCTTAGTGATAATGTAGAACACTCACAGGATGAAAGATCTTCAGTTTTTTCTTGCCACTAGGAAATGCCGCCTTCTCAATTCTACCTTTGATACCCAGATCAGGTGCGTTCTGCTCCACAGAGGACAAGGTGCTGGATACAGATAGAGGAGTGGCGCTAGTTATCACGGCCTCCCCCTCCTTGTTAATGTCTATAGTACTTTCTTCATTCCCTTGTGGGACAGTACAGTTAGGGCAAATATAATCCTCCCCATCTCTTTCAAGTAGCTGTCCACGTCTTTCAGTAATGCCAACACAGTCACCATGAAACCATTCTTCACATCTGTCACAGCAGATCATAAACCTAGAAGACAAAAAACAATAGCTGCACATTGCAGTACTTCAAGTATCCTAAAAATGTCATTTTCCTGCCAAAAATATAATCTGCCCAACTCCGAGCTCGGTTATGAAGCACCTCAACATACTCCTGAAGGGAAATGGCGCTTGAGAAAAAAAAGCTAATGAGCATTTGCATTTTAGGATACAGTGGTCTCTAGAAGGACTACTTCTGGGTCTCCAATCCAGTTTTACTTTTTATCTATGGAAATCCTTACCCCTAAATCAACGCGCATTTTACATCATTGCAATGCACCTATCAGTCGCCATACATTGAGCTCTCCATTTCAACCTGAGCAGCAATTAAAGAATAGCTTTACTTCTCTTCTGGGTCACAGGAGTACATTTACTAATGTCTGCTCTCTGATGACAGCACAAAGCCGCACCACAGTCTGGAAAGATCTCAGAAATATTGTTGGGATCCAGCCGCGATGCCCTATTGACAGCGGACTCTGTTCGTGGGTTGAACAAAAAAAACAAAACAGTGTGTGGCCAGCTTAAATATTGGGAAGGATACATCTTACTCTCCTTTAATATGGGATGTATTGAAGCCTCCAGAGTACACAGGAGATGGAGCCCTGCAGAAACATCAGCACCTCTTCCTGCCCACCCAGGGGCTGACTGACAGCATATCACATCCCCATGCCATGCCTATTGACAGTAAATCTCCTTTCATTGTATATTGTACCAATTTTAACATTTTGCATGTCAGCGACTGTGTTTTTCTAAAGAATATCCCAGCGGTTTCTCTACTGAACAATGTCTTCAATTAGGTGCCTTATCGCCCAATGTAAAATATTACCCAACAAGGTTGACATCATACCTGTTGTTATGAGGTTGTCTGCAGATGCAATACAAGGTGTTGGGGTCGTAGATCTCAGCCTCTGGTCGCTTTCTTGTGGATGACTTTCTCACCATTTTCTCCTCTTCTGTATTATCAGGGCTCTGAGGTACCTGTTTTATTGCAGCGGCTAGCTGCTGAAGCAGGATTGCTCGGTTAGCACTCCTAGTACGGATAGCACCCTCTACATGTGCTGCGGTAACAGTCTGTACTGGAATGGTCTCAACCACAGGATTATCAGGGCGTTTACTCCGGAGTCTATTTTGGATCTCTTTCAGGGTCATACCATCACTATCTGAGCTATCATCCTCTTCCTTCTTAACCTCACTTTTTGCTTCAGTCTTAACATCGGGTGTGCTTTCCACGCTACCTTCTGATGCAGTTTCAGCATCTGTCACTGGACATGACCTATCACTAGACTCTTCCAGAGCATTACTCTTCCTGCCCCTGTTCCTCCTGACGGCTGTCAGGAACTCTTCCACTCTTTCTGTGCGCTTTGGCTGCCTCCCACTGCGGCGGAGTGATGGAGTGGACTGCGGGGATTCTGAAGCATCCATATCAGTGTCGCTGATCAGCTCACGTTTAGCAATTGTGGTCTTGCGAAAACCCCAAGTTTTCTTGAACTCTTTGCTTGTGGGTTTAATAGTTCTCAGTATTTCATCATTAATTTGATCCTGGTCATCCACAACAGATGCTGATATAATAAAAAAAGGGTGACAAATATGGAGGAAATGCTTAATAAAACAAGACACTAAAGAGGAAAGGTTCATAAAGACAATGCTTTCACATGATTTAAAGATTGTCAGTAAAGTTAGACATAAGATAACAACCATATTACTAATGTCCCAAATCTGGTTCTCCCCTGAATTTACTCCAAATGAATCCAGCGTACAAGACTAAAGCTGACCACAGATATTGGGGATCAGACAATCAAATGTCATCCAATCATCCTAATATCTGGCCAGTCCCACTAATCAGGGACGCTCTAGTCACCCGATTACAGAGTCAGGTATGATAAATTGGGAGACTACAAAATATTTAAACTAGATGTGAAAGTATTTTAGCAGCTTATAACTATAATCTGATGCACTATTAGGGGTCCATACAAAAAACATCAATGGGTATTAGCAATAAGTTATACAAACTAGTGGGTACCTTGTGAACAGTGACAGTTACAAAGTAGCACCTAGCAAAGAACATAAGCCCAAAACATTTCTTTGTAGTTTGGGATAGAGCAGGGAATGGATAAAATACCCTCCAATAGTTGCTGTCTGTATCTTATTTGAATGCTTGCTCATAATGGGTAATTGTCTTCAGGAAAGACAGACCACAGTAAGGCTCTATTCCCAAAGGAGCAGTTGTCCGTACCTATTTGGCTATACAAATACACGCAGAGACGCTAAAAACATAAAAAAGACAATGCTCTTTAATGTGCATTGTTCAGACTTTTGCAGCGGCTGTGTGGTATGAAACCGCACTGCCTGCAAAATAGTCCAAGCACAATTTTTTTACATTCTGCATGTTCCCGGCTATAGTGATAGCCACAAACGAGTGGAATCTGTGCAGATGAGATTTTAGCGTTTGCGTGCCGCGCGGTCTTCCGCATGGGAAACGGAAACACTATATGTGAATGGAGCCTAAAAACCTGACAGACCTATAGGTGACAACTTGACTATATTTTAAACTGAGAAAATTACAATAAACTTATATATAACTGCTAATAAATTCATATCTATGTCTAAACATGCCCCTGTAGTAGCAAACACTCAAGGTTCATTCATAAAGGCAGCAGCATTCTGTACTAGGACTGCATACACATTGGATGACTAGCTGCGCCCAATTGTTCCGGGCCAAAACCAATTGCCCTTAAAAGGAGAACTATGACATGAGTGATTTCCAATCACCTCATAGTTCTAAGCCGACCTGTGACAATGAGACTGTCACAGGTCGGCTCAGTAGATCGGGAGGTGAGCGAACACATACAGGGTAACGGTAGGACGCTAGTTTGTGTCCTCCCGTTACCCCAAGGAGAACTATGGGGAAAAACACTGACCCCATAGTTCTCCTTTATTCACAAAATGTCTGCATCCAGGGTCTGTTAGAGATCTAACTGCAAACTGTCTGCCTCAAAGGCTGCTCAGAGGCCCTAATCGCAAACTGTCTGCATCCAAGGCTGCTCAGAGGTCCCAACTGCAAATTATGTGTCCAAAGCCGCTCAGTCCCTAACTGCAAACAGTCTACGTCCAGGGACCATGATCTGAAACAGTCTACATCCAGAGCCAATCAGAGCTCTTACTCACAAACGGTCGGTGTCCAGGGTCGGTTAGAGGCCCTAATGGCATGTAACGGATCATCATGTCTGTTCACAAACTGTACATGGGGCTAGTTTCTCAACAAGAATTGCAGATTCTCCCCAGCGGTTGCCCGTCTAAATGAGCCCTTATTCTTGCCACAGCAACCTTACTTCATCAAACTAACCGGGTAAAAGTGGGAATTTGACTTCTTTCATAAAGGACCGTTACAGTTTTCCCTATATATTATGCTATGAAGTAACAGTAACCTCATACCAAGGTAAATGTCAATTCAATGATTTGACTTCTGCTAAAGTCTAGATTCTTTTTAGGAACATCGTAGATGCTGTCATTGTAAAACCAAATGCAAGAATTGGCGCTGGCGTTGCAGTAGTTCTATGAATTCAAAAACATTTAAACCTTCCACGTACTTTGATGACATGCCAGTAGACCAACAAGATAACATCTTAAAAGAGAACTATGGGGTAACCTTTTTATCACATAGTTCACTTTAGGGTCCCAGGAGGACATCTACCAACGTCTTCCCGTGACCCAAAACTCAGTATATAGAGGACTATTGCCCGCTATATACTGAGAACACCGCAGCCGGGACGGATCCCGACAACACAGTCAAGATCCACCCAGCTGGCTGATTAACAGCGCCTCTGCCTAGCTAGCTATGCCCGCCCCCTCCCCTTTCTGATCCATCAGTCAGCGCTGGAGGATTGGAGAAGTGGGGAATCCCTGCAGGGAGATGATCAGGAAGTGACCGAGCGGCAGTAGGTGTTCGCTTGCCGATCAATAGAGCCGACCTGTGACAGTATCAATGTCACACGTCGGCTCTATGGGGCCGAGTGCAATTCCCTCACCCCCATAGTTCTCCTTTAATGAGACTCAACAAGCACAGGAACAGCAAAACTGAGCTCACCAATTCTGGATACAACACAGGAAAATACACATGCCCAGGTAGAATTACCACAACACAAGGCAGCAGACCCACAGACCAGACGTTCATGTCTCTGAAGGTCAGCAACATGAATTTGAGAATTTTAGAGCCCATATCCGGGCAAACAAAAAAAAGCTTACCCTTGCAGTGGGGCTACCCTGCACTTTAAGGGTTAAGTGCTTGTTTTGTCTAGGGGGCTCAAAGCTGTTTTATTCACCTGATCCTTGGCCCCATGCTGGTCAGCAATCCCTTCTCCCTTCACTATGTCTATGAAATGTTGCACAGCATCCTCATGTCTGATGCAGGTCAATGGACCATCTTAAGATCGGTTCTTATACCGCCGGAGCCAAGGGAGAAGAGGCTGTAGGGACCAGTCTAGCAGCCTGGACAGAGATGGCAAGAGCGGGAATTATGTAAGTAAAACAGCTTTAATATTGTGCCGTAGACATAACAATCACTTAAACCTTGCAGTTTGTGGGTAGCTCCACTGCAAGGTTAAGTTTGTTTGCCCAGAGATGGGCTTTAAAAGTAGAATTGTCCCACATTCTATTCTATAAAGAAAAATAAATACAGCAGATGCATCAACATGCATGTTCTAAGTGCAAAATCAGCTTTCAATTAATGCCAATGGTGCAATCCATTTCCCAATATAATTGCAAAGTATTAAGGCCCCGTTCACACCTTTACGTTTTGTCGCACGTTCAACGCTCTATGAACGCTGTACAAACATGAAAATCCCATTGTTTTCTATGGGTCTGGTTCACACCTTTCCGTATTTCCGCCCGTCTGAAACGCCCTACAAAACGGCCTACGCTCAAACAAGTACATGTACTTCTTTGGGCCGTTTTGTAGGGCGTTTTACATTGGGATACAGCCAAGTAGCCTTCGGAATCGCGCAAACTTTTTTACAGCGAATCGCGGTAAAAACCGTGCGACAGACGCGCATATTCAATACGCCTAGGTGTGAACCCAGCCTTAGACATACTAGAACACCTACGTTACAATGTAAATGAACCTGCTACCATTGTGCTACAGTTCTAACAAGGCAAACTTTACACATCACATCGCTGACACTTTTAAAAAGACGTTAAACACACTCCCCTATACCCAGAACAGATATATATACATAAAGACATTGCTCAAGAGCACAATGAAATACATGCAAATAAAAAGGTCAACAGTATCCATAAGCAGTAACAGGGAGAGAACCAAAGCATCGTGATTCCATGTATCCACCAAGAGGGTAATATGCACTGGGTTTATTCCCCTTCCCCCTCAATCTACAAAGGATGTAAAAAGGTGCCAGAAAACCTGTAAAAGCTACTGAACAGACCTAACACCAAAACTACACAATGTGTGACATTAATCAAGCACACTAGCAAGAAATTTAGATGCAAATCAGGCGGCCTGCCAGCTTGTAAAATCTCCTTTTGTCCTCCAAAAAGGAGTACAACTTCTTCTGTAAAGACGTTCATGAGTGTCACTTCACTGTCTGCAAATCAGCCCATACCATGGAGGAAATATACTCCAGTGATCAAGCATCTAATTCTCAACTCGGAAGTATTCTGTATCAAAGAGATACTGCTGTCCATCCTCCATAAACTCTGCGTGCACGTAATCTAATCACTTAAATAAACAGATTTTTAAATGGATCCTTTGTGTGCTGGTGACATATGCTTCCTTGTACACCACGTAACCAGCTGATCGTTGCCGCAGCACCCCTGTACCCCAATCTTTACAAAGGAAGGAGTTCATAGGAGACATATCCATGAAGCCCTCCATAAAAGGGGTTCACCTTCTTCCCCATTTTACAGTCATGTATGTGCAAGCAGAAGGGACAGCAACAAAACTGATCTCCACTCCATATAACCCAGTCTTAAGGTGCCCACACACCTTGCGATAATCGCAGGAAATCCCGCGATCGTACGATTATCGCAAGGTGTGTGGATGGCGTGCGTTCGTTTTTACTGTACGGTCGCACGACTTATCTTAGAAACATGTTCGAAAACCCGCCAATAATCGTACGATTGTCGGCGGGTGTGTGGCATGTTCCTAAGATAAATGCCGCACGGGCCAGTGTGGGCAAGCACACACTGCCTGTTCAGCATTGCGGTCATCTGAAGCCTGGCCCTCAGCGGGGCGGGCTTGCGATTATCGCAAGTACGATCTGCCTGTCCAAGATGGGCAGATCGTACGTTTTTTTTATTACCTTACAACCATCGCAAGTCTGTGGCCAGCTTAAGGGCCTGTTCACACGACGTCCGTTTTCTGTGCTGATCTGCACTAAAAATGCATCCCAATGTATCCCTGTGTGTTTTATGGCCTACAGTTCTCACGTGCGCAGTCCGTTCAGGTTACAACAGAAAAAATACTGCATGTCACATTTTGTACGGTCAGGAAACGCAAAACGAGTCAAAAACGCGCTGCAGTGCAACTAACATACTGACAGCCACACTGCAGCAAAAAAAAAAATATATTTTTTTTTTTTTTAAAAGGGAACGCATCAAAAACGCACTGCATCAGTAGCACCGCGTCTGCAGATCCGCACCTGATATCATGTGAACAGGCCCTGATATCATGTGAACAGGCCCTAACAGGTATTGTTGTGCGACATCCATAAAGGAGTGCACAATCTTTGTTTTACATTATATACAGACTTCATGAGTCTAGCTCGTGTGACTAATACATGTATTTAATAAATCTGGTAATAAAGAAGTTTATTATGGAGGTGGTCCAAGGTTCCCTTTATCATTTGATCTCTTTTTGGTTTGCTACTTTATTGGGTGGACCCCCTCACTATTGGGTACCAGGGTTGCATCCATTCAAAGTCACGCACACATAAAAGATCAGTTTTTAGATGAATTTAGACTAGTTTAGCCTAACTGCAATGTTCCCAAAGCAGCAACATCTCAGGATTAGGCTTTAAGCCCCATACCCAACCCACTTTCAGAAAAGCTATTTTTATTCCCATAATAGAAATGAACGCAAACAGATGTTTTTTCTATTTAAAAGGCACCAAAAAAAAAAAAGGAAATATAAACAAAACCAAATCATAGCACCGTTCAACACCAACTACTCTATACAAGCATTTATCCCTTTTAGAAAGTCAGAATCTAAAGTAAAAAAATGTTTTAAAGTAAGAACCCACCAAAAATGTGTTGTCTAACCTATAAGCTAAGAGAAGAGGGTATAGGACAGAGGTGGGCAAAAACCGGCCCTCCAGCTGTGCTACAACTACAAGTCCCACAAGGCTTTGCAAGACTGATAGCCACACACATCAGTGCTAGAAGCAGGATGCATGATATGATTTCTAGATTCATCACAGCTGGAAAGCCAGAGTTTGCCTGCCCCTGGTATGACATTAGAGCCGATCTTGGAGGAAAATGTAAGGTCTGCTCTAATGACAGCGCCTCCCCCCCAGCATGGCAACAAAAGAAATGAAAATGGGGTGGAAAAAAAATGATATAAAAAAAAAAAATTTTTTACTGCAGACCCCATTTCCTTGAGCGGCTGCTGTTTGTAGTGAGGCATGGCAATGTTGAAGCACCTCCAGGAAGTGGGGTCTTGAGGTATGTATATAGCCAATGAGGCTTTTTCTGGCCCTAGTTGTACAGCTGTTTTTTTTTTTTATTTGGGGGCTGGCTATAAAGTGGATCTTGAATTATGCAATCTCTACTACAACATCAAACTATTAAAGCTCACCCATAAATATTAAAAAAAATAAAAGGCAATATAAGACTATAACAAGAATAATTGTTAGGCATTCATTAATATACCAAAGAAATAAATGTCTCAATGGTCTGAGCTATATGGAGATTATGGGAGGGGAGTATACATTGCTGCCCATTGCTTGTCACTAGTTACACACAAGCACTATTGTAATACAGGACGAGGTGTAAACCAGGACAGTTCCCATCTCTTTCATTAATTTACATGTCAGGAGCCAGTCTGACAGTCATCAGTCTCATCTTAATGGCTTTTTACGGAGTTGGCCTCTGTTTTGGATCCACAAAGATGTCCAGAACAGACACACAACAAACAGATTTAATTTGCAGCCGCTGCGGTTCAACTAAATATGAAGTCATTTGCAACTCCAAGCTAAAATGAAACTGAAGCCAAAACTTGTTTTTTAGTTTTGAATAGAGAAAGGGACAATTATAATCAGTCAGCTTTTTTGCCATTTGTTTCCCACTATGGAGATTTCCCTTCACTTCCATTAAAGAAAACGCTTTTGTTTTTTTACACTGTACACTGACTAACGTGTTGCTGTTATTTGTCCAGCCCTGCCAATACTAAAATATTTAAAAATCACACTTAAACATTCTTAATGATCCTATAGAAATATATAAACTAGCATACCAGGAGAACTGCTCTCCAAGATGTCAAGGTTGATTTCTGTTTCAATTGCCACAGAAGAAGACAGAGCACTTGCCACTTCCTCCATTGCAGGTGATGCTTTTGCTCCCACACTGCAATTCTGAAAATAAATATGCAGGTTTGTAAGAGCAGCCGGTCGCCAAACCTTACAGAGCAAGCGTCAAGCCAACAGCTGCAGAAGTGAGTGCAGAGTGTGTCTGACTGTACATGGAAGGGTGGAAGGGTCTGTGCTTGACAACCAATCAGTGCTTCTCATCCACTTCTAGATTGAGATGGCCTTATACTGAGGACTGTTTATTCCAGGGAAAAATTATTAAAAATCTGACCCTCTGGCAATCGTTGCTTCATCCACCAAGCATACCTATTAATACAAAACCTTGCTGTTGCTTTAGAACATAAAAGCTTTTAACTCCAATCCTTTGTGACATTGCTCTCCCAAGATTCACTGATATGACCATTCAAGCTTCACACACAGGGAAATTGTTATACATCTGTGCTGAAAATATTCAGATTTGCCAACGCTGTTAAATGGCCACCTATAAATTGCTTTAGGAGCGAATTTTTGGAAACAAAGGTTTGCTTGTCGTCTTGCATTGTATAAACAGCCTATTCAAAATGAAAGGGCTGAGACTCGCATATAAAATGGGACAGGCTGCATTTCTATTGCGGCGCAGAGGACACCATGTATGCCAAAGGATGGCAATGCAGCGTACCAACGCATGAAACATCTGTTGCTGCACAATACCACAGCCTGATGGTGTGAATGGACCCTTAAAGTGCATCTACTGCCATGGCGCCTAACCCAGCAAGCTGCTGGAAACACTGACACTAGAAATCCATGACGGTGAAGAGACTTTGTGGCTGAAAATGTAGTCTCTAATGACAAAGTTCATAAAGGCAGCAAGGTGGGTGATCGAGGGTTAGGTTAAAAAAGGATTAGATACACTTTAACAGACTAGGAAAAAAAATTATGTATACCATGTTCTGAGATGGCAACAACAAAAAGTACAAACATCCCACAACATTAGCCAAGCCTATATGACTGGGTTTGAAAAATGAATTTTTGCCAAGTTTGATTTTTGAAATAATGATTCTAACAGGTCCTCAAAAGGATATATTTTAGTGGCGGTAATGTGTAATTTCATGACCAGAAATGATATGGCCAACAAAGAGATACAGTCAAACACAAATGCACTGCTCCTGGATATAAACATTATTTGCCTTTGCATAAAAACAAAATAAAAGCTAGCAACAAAAAAAGCACAGGAGATATATACACACATACACATATATATATACACACATACACACACACACACAGACAAAATGCACTTACCTGTACTTTAGATAGCTAGCCTTGATCCATCCTTTCACTAGAACTGCAGAGTCCTGGAAGAATTGTAGACGTTACTCAAACCGGAGTTCAAGTGTGAATGAAGATTGAGGCTTTTTCACTCGATTCGGGAACAGACAACAGCCCATGTGGGAGTCGTCCTACAAAGAAGAAACAAAAGAAAAACATGTGAAAAGGAATGTACAGTAGGTGTATCATGGGCAGGGTTATGAAATGTGCTCGTTTAGCATTTCTATAGTTGGGTAAATAAGTGAAATTAGCATGTAAACCTTACATATTTATAACACTTGCCAAAACTAGATAGATCCCTTCAGGCTCAGTTTCCTGCAGCTATAAGGGCTTAATGTGCCCTAACCCTCTGCATGTAATCCAATCAACCTCAAAGTCTGGAGACAGTTTGAGGAAGCAGCACTTCCTGCACATGTAAAGGGTCCCCCAACTACACTAAAGCCAGGTATACACTGCACAAAATTCAGCAGGTTCTTAATGAACTGGCCAAAAGTCATTCAGTGGGTGGACCTGTCACCATCCTAAAATCAAAGGAGCTGGACGGAATTTATTCAGGCGAAAAGTGACAGCAGCCAATCTGCTACCGTCACTGTTCAGCTATTCTGACAGCCACACGCCTCATTGGTGTCAGAATCCAAAAGGACACAGCGGGAGATTCATTTATCCATGTTTTGTGGTGAGGAGGCCAAATTTAAGAATCACAAACCACACAATGGAATAAAAAGGATTTCAAAACAGATACACAGAGTGGTTCACATTCTAAGCTTCACTCTAAGGTGTCAGATCTGTGTGCTTTCAGGCATTAAATATGTGTAAAACGCATTACATACTATACAGAATGAAACCACTCTCAACTTTTAGTGTGGCTTGGGAAAACTGGCGTTATCAGTGTTTTTTTTATTATTAAAAGTTGCAAAGAAATAAATGGTATAGCACATAATACGGCACATAGAACAGATCACAATAAAAAGCATAAACATGCACAGAGAAATGTACCCCAACAACATCTGAGACCGTTGCATCAGCTGAATCAACTATATAGGATCTTGCTTGTTAAACAATACTTGGCACAGCGCAATACCATGTCTGGTGGTGCAATGCAAGTGCATTGGGCACTATTCACATTGAAGAGCACTGCATCGCAAAACACCAAGCATAACATGCACTTATTGACTTGATTTCACTTGTTCTTTAACCACTTCAAGACCAGGTGTTTAGACCCCCTTCATTTTAAATTTGGGGTGGGGGGGAACTGATGGAGCAGAGATCTGCTCCATCAGCTTCTTTCCAGATTCTGAAGCTGGAGAGTGACACAAGAATGCGGAAGTGATGTATTATACAACACTTCCGCATTCACATACGGAAGAGGTATTTGTATTCTAAATCAGAAGTGTGGTCTAGGCTCTAGGGTAACAATGCTGCTACTCCACACAGTAACCAAACATTGCCAGCCTAAGTCAGGAAGTGTGTTATGGCAAGAAACAGGCCGAGACAAAAGAAAACTAATGCAGCCACCACATTCAAGGACCAGGAAGCTGAAACAGATGAAATGTTTTTTATTTTTGGGTTTTGATACAGTACACGGTGCCACCCAGCATCAGCTGAGCAAATACTTGCCACAGGCATGCCCACTGTATACAAAGCCTAAAACTAAATTATATTTAATTTACATCTTAGCAATCAGAACATAAGATACGGTGATCTAGGAATAAGGACACTGGCAGAAACATCGGCTCGGCTGTCTACCCATATATACAAATTCCATGGCCTAAACAAAGCATGCAAGCTGTCTATGGCTGCACTCTGGTCAGGATTAAATCAAACTGCTATACAAAGGAGTAGGATCAGCGAGTGAGCTATGAAACTGCATTCTGATAGCCGACATCTTAGACACTAAGCAAAACTGAGTTACAGTATCAATGTAACAAAGCTTGACTTACACACACCACAAACTAACATTTATTGATACACAAAAAAAATAATAGTCCATGAGCTCCTTTTGTGGCGCTTATCAGCTCATTTTGCTCTATAGACTTCAATGGAAACATGCTGATCAGCATGTTTTTGCATTCATTTTTTAAGCATGTTTTTGCAGCGGAGACTGCTTTTCATTGGACAACTGAAAACATGCCTTAAAAAGCTCTTACATATGAACAGAAACGTCTGTAAAACGAGCTGAAATTCCCCAAAAAAGCGCACGTAAAAAGCGCTGAAACACTGTCACCCTGGTGTAAATGGGTACTTTTTGCACGCTTTTTTTCAAGGATTTCAGTAAAAAAGGGCAAAATCTTCTAGGAAATATATTTTCCTGCCAGCATGATTCTCTTTCTCCCCCGCTCCCTCCCTGAGCCTGTTTTACATGTGTTTTTTTAAGTATAAATGTTTTTGGTCAGGTGTTTTATATCTGTCTTCAAATATTTCTAGAAAATATTTTATTTACAAACATTTAAGACAAAAAACACACACAAAACAAAAACATATGCAGAATCAATATACATTTCCTTTAAGGAATCCATGTATTTCTGTTTGTCAACACTCCCAGCACACTCATTGGGTTTGCCAACTGTCAATTAGGGCAGCTTGAGCAACATACAAAGACTAGACTGTCCCACAACTGCCAAGCTAAACCAGAGAACTTCACCCATTTATAAAACAAACTCCTATGCCTACTTCAACCCACCTCTGAAAGAATTGCAAGAAAAAAAAATAACTTTAGCGCAAAAAAAATATTTTTAAGCCTCGTCTGGGAGAGGATAACGCAACAATTCAAGCAGAGAACGGCAAAGGTTTCATAGATCTGGCAGAAAATCGCAGTGGCCTGCACATGTGCAACAGATCTGAACTTGCCGTGTCTCTGCACATGGGACAATTTTTTTTTAGTTTTGCAAAAATGGCCTGCAGGGCAGGAGGTGGGAACAGGCACTATTTATCTTACGGTAAACCGGATCACATTATTGTTAGAAATGTGTTATGCGTACATTATAATGCAACAGTGTGAATGAAACCTTAAGTATTAATGTAACCCAGCAGTAAAAGTACTTTAACCACTTCCAGCTAGTTTGGAATGCCTGAGGCATTAGGTGGGATTCTCTATCCCAACAATGATCGGTAGCTGCCATCGATTACTGCTGTGAATACTGAAAACCAGTTTTATTATGTCATCCCATAATAACTAGTCAAAGATTTGATACCTATACAGAGCTAGAAGTAACAGGAGTTTGTCACAGCTGTACTCATTCACTCCAAGAACAAGACGGTGAACCGGTGCCCAGACTACACACTAAAGGTGCCCATACACCTTACGATTATCGTACGATAATGGGATGCTATCGACTTTTCGTACGACAATCGTAACGTGTGAATAGAGTGCCCGACCGATAGTACTGTACAATTGTACAACTTTTGATGGGCCAGCATGTTTGAAAACTTTGGTCGATCATACAATGTTCGCATGGTTGGTGGCGTTTCCGTCCGTCAAAAGTCGTACGATTAACACTGCGCAAACAAAAATAATTGCGGTCAATTACCACAAGTCGTCCAGGTGTTTATTTTTAACTACCGCTGATTGAACCTTTCGATAATCAGGGCAGGATGGGGCCGCTGTACGAAAATCGTACGACAGTTCGATCATCGGACGAAAAGTTTCGTCCGATAATCATAAGGTGTATGGGCACCTTAAGTATTAAAATGTGAAGAAGTAAAAGCTTTAAAACAAGCCTTGTTCACCACCGCTGCTGCAGGCATTGTGGGAAAATGAATCCTCACATTTCACAAGACACACAGATGACAGCGTAATCAATGATCGTGCTTGTGGTGCTATTCATTGTTAAACACAACAAGCAAGAATCGCATTTTATGCATGCAACGTGCAAAGCTTAAGGGCTAATTCACACCACAAACAGTGCGTTCCGGCCTGTGTGGCACATCAATGCCTGCTTTCCGGCCCGGTCAGAAAAAATGCTGCATGCACTATTTTTTCTGAGCACACCGGACCGGAATGTAGGCATTGATGTGCCACGCGTTCAGGTGTGGGCAATAGCACGGCGGCCAGGGTGTGTGGCTGAAGTGCCATTGACTGCAATGCACCGCTAAGGCCTCGTACTGGCCATAAACGCAGGGAGCAGGCTGGGATTTGATCCAGTGCGTTCCAGCACCAAATCGGTTCACAATGCATTCTTTGTGGTGTGAACTAGCCCTAAAAAGGTGCATGAGCTTCTTGGTATGGTTGATCATATGTAGATGTGTGAATGGGGGCTTTTTCTATAAAGAGCAGATGTCTCTAAGGTGTTAGAAACCGACTCAAGTCTCAGACTGTATAAATGCTTGTGATATGTCTCCAGTGTCAGGATTGCCAGGAGCCCGCCTATCAGTCTCTATGGAACTTTTCCCTCATTAGATGGGCCAGGGTGATGGTTGCTGGCAGCAGCAGAAACACCACATGACATCAGCCTTAGAGTCCTTCTTGTGAACTACATGCAGCTAAAAAAAACTTAGTGATGGCCGGTGAGACCCTGTCACCAACTTAGAAATTGCAGGTGAAAACACAGAAAGATTAAGTATTGCAAATGCTTACTTACAGCGTTTCTACTTTCCATAAACAATTCTATATTCATTAGAAATGTACCTTTGAACCTGCTAGGGAATTTGACCAATACTGGAAATCAGTTTCATAGCAAAGCCCCAGTTCTCCCTCCTAACACCTCCTTACTGTCTTGTGCTGGCCCAGCTCCTCTGTCCTGTACCTCCCTATATGAAATCATGTCACTGCTGGGGGAGGAGCAAAAGGGAATACTATAGAGAGCAATCTGAGTGACAGTTCTGCTGACATCACTTTCATGAAGTTGGTGCCGAGCAACAGTCTCAGGGAGATAAAATATATTAAATAAGGAAGAGTGTTGCTGAACAAATGTCCTGGTAATATATTCATTCTTTCATGTCTATAGTATGGGTTCATGTGCACTTTAATCTCCAGCAATTACTGTATAGGCAATGGAAAGACAGAAAACGTATTAGAATTTTGCGCCAAGCACATATCCAGAGTTTTATAACAAAT